GTTTTTCTCCACTGTTAGCCACAGAGGTTGGAGTCACATACCTGCATATTGTCCAGCAGACATCACACACGAGCGCTGTCTTCATGCTGTGTCCTATAGTTCTTATCATTAAACATCTCTTTTTTTTTTTGATGAAATCATGCATGAATCATCATCATGGGCAAGAGGAAATCATAGGTCGCATCATAACTGAGCCCAGGCCGACATTCCCCCGAACTCAGCACAATTACACGGCGGGGCCTCATTCATGCAGTGTTTCCTGCCACACTAAATTTACTGCCCTCTCAATGCGAAAGGAGAAACACAAACTCGTAAACTCAAAAAAGGAAACATTTAACCAGCCTAAACAACTATTAAAATATCATAAGGGAAAAGATTTACGCGACAGCTTCATTGCAGCTTCGTTTCAGAAAAATATGAGTAGCTGTCAGGTTTGAAGCAGGCTGTTAGGCACTTGCCTTTGTCCCGACATCCCCCGGAGCTGCAGTGTTTGAGGAGGTCTTCCCCCCCCCTGCTGTCTCCAGGACTACCTGCTGTGGAACCGGCTGGGGGCCACGCTGGCGAACGGGGACCGCAGCGAGGAGGCGGTGGAGGCCTACACCAAGGCCCTGGAGCTGCAGCCCGGCTTCATCAGGTCCAGGTACAACCTGGGCATCAGCTGCATCAACCTGGGCGCCCACAGGTCAGCGCCGCTCCCGGGAGGATGTGGGCCGGGACTGTGGCCCAATCCGCAGGCTGAGATTCCACACACGCATGCACGCACGCACGCACAACACATCCCCACAGGGAGGCGCCTCTGGCCAAGAGGGAAGCCTGAGGGGCGCCAGGAGCCCAGTAGCTCAGGGCCGGGCCGGGAGCCTGCAGGTGGAAGCTGCAGTCCAGAGACTGGGGGGCTGCAGACTGAGGGGAGGGCATGGTCCGGGTGCAAGCAGGGAGAAGGTCACCCCACATCATCAGTGCACACGCCCTGGTTAGTGCTGGGTCCTCTCCCACTAGACACAGTGCTCTCAGATTCCTGCTAAGCAGATTGCATGACACCCGGTTAGCAGATAATGAGGGACGACTGGACCATTTCATAGCAAGAGCAAGGAGAAAGAAATTGACAGATGCTGCTCATCTCACTGTCCTGACAGACGGCCCATCGTTCCCAACAAATGTGAAATATTTTGTCCTGCAAAAGAGTTGTACTGGGGAGCATGTCCCAGCCTGTTCTCCGACTGGGCTCATCTTTTGTGTGCGTGATTTGTGCCACGTCGTGAATAAAGGGTGTTGCTCTTTTCACAGGGAAGCTGCAAGCAATTTCCTCACAGCCCTGAGCCTGCAGAGGAAGAGCAGAAGTCGGCAGCTGTCTCACCAGGTCATGTCGGGAAATATCTGGGCAGCCCTGAGAATAGCTCTGTCCATGATGGACCAGCCAGAACTCTTTCAGGCCGCCAACATAGGCGACCTGGACTTACTCATGAGGGCCTTTAAGCTGGACATGTGAAGACCATGGTTTGTCAAGAATACGGGAATCCAAAGCTGTATATATTTTTTACAAAAGAAACAGAAGTCCAGTATGGCTACTGAGGCCAGACTGAATGAAGAGCACTTTGCAGTCCTGGGGATGTGCTTGAAGAAGACTAGGATGGATTTGCACTGAGCTTGGCGATTTTCTGACAAGAGCACAAGAGCCAAGACTAGAGGAGATTGTACTGTACGAGTATGCCTTAGAGAAAACGGGAAAAAAAAGTCAGTTAAAAATTTGAAGTAGAATTAGAAATGTTTTGATGCCACTGAAATGGACTGGAGTTATACCAGTACTTTATACTTCATGGCCTGAGTGTCCGAGCAATAGCGCATCACGCACCTGGGTGTTAGGATGAACCAGAGGCAAACTCACACAATGAAAAAGAGTTTGTATGTTTGTATGAAAAACTGCTGCTGATACCCATTTGAGTCCATCCTCATTCCCAGGGCTCACGGCACGAGGGCCTATACTAGTTTCTAGTATATGTTTCGCCTGCATTTGTTTCATTAGCCTTGTATATTTCTAAATGTTCTAATTTTCCGTGCTTTAAGATTCCAAACTCCGCATGTGAGCATTTCCGGCAGCTCAGGTTAGGATATCTCCGAGATCCCGAGACAGTCGTCTCCCCTGATGCATGTGTGCACTAAAGAAAACAAACCCCTCGACACGAAACCAAAATTCTTTTCATTGTGTATTTGCTCACTCGCTCTACCTTGGCTTAGCAGCACCTGTTAGGCGACTTGTAAGCTTTACTGGAAACGCATGCTTCATTTTCCTTTTAAATATAAGGCCCGCTTCTCACAGGGCCATCACGAAGTGCACAGTGAAGGGTCTCGGATGTTTGTTCATCGTGCGCATTGTTTTACTTTCTGTGCACAACTTTCTGTTCAAAGGAGCTCCCCGCTGAAGACAGACCACACTCAGTGGCGTTTGGTGTATTAAGCCAGACAGAATGGGAACAGTGGGCAGTGACTGAAGTCCCGCATGCTGGCTTACTGGGTGGTATTTTATGTACTATTGCACAACAGACTTGCAGCTCAGATGTAAGAATCTTCTTACCCCACCGATGACATAAATCGTCATTGTATCGGGACTGCACTTCATCTTGAATCTGCATCCTTTCACAGGTTCCTGTGTAACATTCTTCCTTCACAAACCGGGATGCTCTGCAGATTGACCCTCTGGACGGCCTGAGTGGGGCAGAGGGGAAGTGGAGTTCCGCACGGCCCAAAAGCCCGAAAGGAAATGATCCGAGACGCAGCCCCTGCTGTGGCAGTTACTACGTTACTGCTTGTGCTGGCAAAAGTCCCACGTGGAACAGTGGCCGAGGCTGGGTGAACGGTTTGGTGCAGCGCTCTGTCCTTTCCATCCCGTCTTCACCCACACGGGCACAGCTACATGATGGAAAACAGCATCCAAAGAGGAAACAACTTACCCGTTTTACCGTCACTTCACTGCAAAAATAGCAGTGCAGTACAGTAAAACACGGGCGCCTGAAGACCTGAGAAAGTAGAGGGGTCTGATTCAGTGAGGACCTGCGTCCACGGGCCCCTGAGGCTGCCACTCCACCAGACCACTCACTTCTCTGCCAGGGGCTCCCTTCCTCAGGGAGACTGGCACTCCAGCTGTGTAGTGCTGGTCTCGGCTTCAGGAAGCACCCAGCCAGGGGCATGTCAAGTCTCTCACCCCCAGCTCCCTCTCTAACACAAATACCATTTCCCGTTTCCAGCTCCTGGGCTGTTGTCCTGCATCCAGTCCGGAGCTCCGTCAGGAGCAGGCTTCCATTCCTGCTGAGCACCTGGTTACGTAACGTGATCCTTTAGCCAACGCTTCCCCTCAGCTCTTTAATTGATCCCAGCACCTCCAGAGGCTGTGGGCTGGTCCTGGAAACGGTTCTACACATCCTTTGCAGCTGTCCTCAGTCGGCCTGTAGCTACTGGACACACTACCCTGGCCCAGTTGAGCTAGTAACCAGTTCAGCTGACACAAACGAGCTCGTGTGGAAATGAAATGAGCTGACTCAACTGCCTTCAGGTCCAGAGGGTAAGCACAGCCACATGAACCCAACGAGGCTGGGACGCTTCACAGCACAAGAAGCTGAAAGCTGCTAATCTCCCAGCTAGTTGTGTACAGTACATATCATTGATTCTCACAGCCACAGAGCACTTGTACTGAAGGGAAAGGAGACTGTGCTCAGCAGCAGTGTGGATGTTGGGGGTGACAGAGAGGGGGGTGTCCAGATGTCAGCAGCAGCTCCCCAGCGTGGCTTGATCCCACCACATCACCTTAACAGCCTCTTAATGAATCAGACCCACGGCTATTTTTGCATTAGAAAATTCTAAGATTTCAATTTAAATGCAGAGTCCTACTTAGAAATCTTATTTTTTTAAATGTTGCATTTTGAGTTTATTGCATAGGTCTTCTATGATATACTAGATTATAATAACAATGTGTTGATCTAGGATGTCAAACATCTTTTATAGAAAGGAGCTTTTATCATCTCAGGTATGATAAATCAGTTAACTGCATGCTCTGGAATATTGATCAAGAAATGCTGCATGCAAGACTTCTGGTTTTTTGAATGCTTAATTAATTTGTTTTTATGCATGAAATGTTCACAAGACATTTTCTTCTTTTACTTATTTCTATAAATATATATTCTAGTGAAATGACTATTTCTCATTACAATGCACTTTTTGACCTTCTTGGACTTTCTTTTATATATGTATAATATATATATTTACTGTATTAAATAAAGTTTTGATGCACAGAATGACCTACATGTAGTACATCATAGTACACAATAATATTTACTGGCTACCTAAAATAAACAATGACTACTCTTCTCATACAAAAAAATGATCTGAAGAAATCTGTCGGGATTCCAATCCTTGTTAAATCAAATCTTTCAAAATTAAAAAAGTAATACTTTTTAAGTCTATTATTTGTCTTTATTTCCCTTGAAAATTAGCTTAACTGAGCTCGGCCCACAACTTCAGGAGGACAGTCCTGACTGCGTCCACATCCACCACCCTCAACCTCTGGCTTCTAACACCCCTCTCCTAGCAGTGGTTTCTCCCCACCTCTCCCCCCACCCCTGCAGCAGCTGCTTGGGTTCTTCCACTTAGATTTATACCTAAATAATAATAATTCCTCACACTCACAAAGAGCGCTTTTCTGGACACTCCACTCAATGCTCTTTGCAGGTCATGGGGATCCCCTCCACAGCCACCGGTGTGCAGCCCCACCTGGATGATGCAACAGTACACTCCCCACACACCAGCTCTCAGTGGGGAGGAGAAGAGAGTCATGAAGCCAGTTCAGAGACGGGGGTTATTAGGAGGCCATGACTGGAAAAGGGCAGGGGGGGGGAATTTGGCCAGGACACCAGGGGTAACACCCCCACTCTTCTCAAGAAAGTCTCTGGGATTTTTAATGACCACAGAGCGTCGGGACCTCGGTTTTAAGTCTCATCCCAAGGACGGAGCCTTTTTACAGTGTAGTGTCCCCATTAATATACTGGGGAATTAGGACCCACACAGACTGCAGGGTGAGCGCCCCCTGCTGGCCCCACTAACACCTCTTCCAGCAGCAACCTTTGTTTTTCCAGGAGGTCTCTCATCAGGGTACTGACCAGGCTCACACTGCTGAGCTCCAGTGTGAGCGACCTTCTGGCTTAAATGCTAAGAGTATGAGAAACTAAATATAGGAAGACACCATATTGGCAGACAGATATGCTACAACTGCTGTCACAAAAAAAAACTAATGGCTAATTGAAAATGAAGGAGATGAATGTAACAGTGTATCCACTAATGTTTAGTTGACACTGCTTACATCTTCCTGACATTATGGAGAATCCATAAAAAGGCAAACGAAGCCCTGGGCTATACAGTCAAAAGTGTAGAACTGAAACCCAGGGCTGTTGTGGTCAAATTGCTCCAATTGGCCTTATTCAGAATATTGCGTATGACCTTGGTTGCTGATCTGGAATCAGTCCAAAAGAAGAACACAGAAACATAATGTGGGGCTTAAGGAAGGGTCCTACACTGACAGGCAAGAGGATCTGAAACATTTCAGTTTTGAACAGAGGAGACTACGAGGGAACCTAAAACAAATATTCACAATCCTCAAAATTCACTGACAAAGACAGCCCAGGACATTTCCTCAGAACGAGCCGTGAGGACAAGAGCCAGAGAGCACAGGTGAAAACTAGGAGAAAGTGCATTTAAGACCAAGAAAACAAGACACATCTTCACCCACAGTAAACAAGGTACACAGGCATCTGGTTGAACCCGGTACCTTGACTTCCTTCACTACATGACTGGGCCATAACCTCTCCTCCGGTGGGGGCAGGGAGGCTTCTGATCTTGTCCTTGTGGCCAGTCAGGCCTTCCATCCACTAAGTGGGTTAAGACAATCAAAAATCTAATTACTCCTGTCATTCGGCCCTAATTAAGGTCGATTGAATTTTTACAGTGTGCAGATCCTGAGCATGAAGTTCATATTAACCATGAGGATAAATAAGAAAATAAGCCATTGGGGAAAAAAATATATATATATAAATTGCCCATTTTAAGACTCTGCAACTTCTATTAAAATCCGTTCATGCTTATAAAGTCCTGAAAAGTTAATCTGCAAATATGTCACAGGAAGATTCCAGTTAAACATTCTTCACCACAATTCCAAATCCATTTCTAGGACTGCCGATGACTTGGTCAACCTGGTTTACAAACCACTTAAGCAAAAAGTAAAAACACTGCTTAGTTTTAAACCTTAAATCCATCAATTCACATTGCATAGACAATTTGTTAAAAAGATGTTAAGTTTGTTATCAAAGTAGTTGTGCCTTAATGCCCTAATGCCCAGAGGCAGTGCTATTAATGTTTCATAATTCTTCTAAAGGAAAAAAACCCATAGCAGAGCATCCCAGCACTGCCTGCACAGGCTTCAGCTGCAGACCATTACAGGTTGGGAAACACAACTCACGTGCACTAGAAAAGTAACTATATACTCCCACTGAAATACAGAAAGCAATAGATCTGTTGCTGAGATAAAGGAAATTTCCAACACTCCTCTGTCAGGCACTTGATTACTTCCAAGCTCACTGTTATTTCTAATCAAGAAAGACAGCTTTCACAATAAGCCTTTGATCCATTTGAAGAGGCCAGGAATTTCATTTTAGAGGCATTGTGAAGCTCTGATTGCAGGTCATTACTGCTGTGCACCACCAGGTTGGACCTGGGCAATTAATCACACCGCTTATGAAAATCTAGGCTCCATCAGCTTTGCCCGGCCTGCAACACAGTGCAGGCAGTCTGCGGCTTTCAAGGCGTTTCTTAAAGCACAGAAGGGTAAATCTGGCAGCTGGTGAAATGCTCCTTCATACCAATCACAGAACAGGGCCTCGGAGAGAGGTAGCGCTCAGGTCTCTCCATCAAACTGCTCTTCCCGCTGTTGTCGAAAAATGTTCAGAGGAGGAGAAGGCATGTTAATCATCAGCAGGAAGTGTGTACCAGTATCTGCCATCAGCAGGTTGAGCCTGGCCAGTACTTGGAGGGGAGACTCCTGGGAAAGCTGAGGCTGCTGCTGGAAGAGGTGTTAGAGGGGCCAGTAGGGGGCGCTCACCTTGCGGTCTGTGTGGGTGACACTATACTGTAAGAAGGTGCCATCCTTTGGATGAGATGTAAAACCGAGGTCTCTCCTCTCTCGTAAAACCAGACTCTCTGTGGGCACTTCTTAAAAGAGTAGGGGTGTTACCCCAGTGTCCTGGCCAAATTTCCCCCCTGGCCTTTACCAATCATGGTCTCCTAATAATCCCCATCTCTGAACTGGCTTCATCACTCTGCTCTCCTCCCCACTGAGAGCTGGTGTGTGGGGAGCGGACTGGATGGTGGAGGGGATCCCCATTACCTGTAAAGGGCTTTAAGTGGAGTGTGCAGAAAAATGCTATATAAGTACAAGAAATTATTACTGATAAATAATAATAAAATAATAATATCCCAGCTCTTACAAACAGCGTCATAGGATCTTCAATTACTTTTTAAATGCAATCACAACCTCAGTTTTACAACTCATCCACATGATGGCTTCTACAACTCAGTGGCCCCAAGTCCCACACTGGGGCGTTGGTTTGGAAATTCCGGCGCGGAGACCAGAGCGCCACCTACTGGCCCACCAGCACTACTTACAGCAACAACTGGATTTCCATGAATGTCTCCCAACCCTGTACTGATCTGCCCAAGCCCTGTTCAGCTTCCAAGACCAGGCGAGACCAGGCTAAGAGGTACACTGGTGAGTGAACTCCCACACAGAATAAGGTCCGACACATGGAAGAGAACATGCACAGGAGGGCGTGACTTAATAGAAAAAAAGCCAGTAACACATTTTAACATGCAAAAGGCTAGCTCATCAACAGCATGTAGGATAATAACGTTTCTGAATAACACCACAGGTGCGAGCAACACCACAATGACAATTCCGATTACCGATGGACAGAATCTTATCAAACACACAACTGACAAAACTGACCAAACAAATTCACCAAATAATGACAAAAATTCAACAAGTTTTGAATTTATTGAACCATCCTAATGTTAAGAGTGAGCAGTACCAGTGTAGTTAGTAGTTAGTTCTCCGCCCAGTGTTTCTTCGATCATCGCTGGTGAAGCAGAGAGCAGGACTACAGCCAGCCAGCCTCTCCACAGTCGATTTGACCAGAGAGCTCACTCTGCAAGAGCAAGACACTCCTGCCACTGAAATTAAACCACACCGACAAGAAAGCAGGGTGTCTTTGACAAGGACTACATGTGGAGAACCCAGCGTAGACAAAACAGGACTGGCACAATCTTGTTTGCGAAAAGAATAATCCAATAAAAACAGGTGAAAACTTTCCTTCACCAAATTTATGAAAAAAAATAAAATTGTACAATTGTAATGACCAAATGTCAATGTTCAGTGCGTGTGCAGATAATACATAAACAATTAAAACCGTGTGGTAACGCAGAGATAAACTGTACGTTTCCCAGCTCTTACAGGTCACACAGAGAGACAGTCAGGGTGGCAGAATGACATTGTCATCCTACACAACACCTTCGGGTTTCCACTCCAGCCCCTCTGGATAAACTCAGGCCTTAACTGAGCTATCAAGCTGCTTAACTGGAATATTGGCAGGTTTTTTCTCTACTCGGCACTTTGGGATTTTATTTTTAAAGGCAACTCTGATGTTCAAGAGGTAAAAACAGCCAAACAGTTCAGATTAATCCCGTTATTGGGCCAGTTAGGGGTTCAGCTGTAACCGAGAGGCCGAGTGAAAGCAAACCCAGCAGGTGTGTGTCTCCACGGCCAGGACCGGAAACTCCTGGCCTACAGTATCCCCCAGAACATCGCCAGCACCACAAGCAGCGGCAGACTACAAGACTATAGACTAGAGCTTATAGCTTACAGCATACAGCACAACAGCCGGGAAACAGAGGAGCAAAGAACCAAAAAGGCACAGAACAGGTGGGCAGAGGACAGAGAGCTTAGAGGGAACTGAAACAGACGACAGGACTTGCATAGTAACCTTGAAGATTTCCAGTTGGGCTGCACAGACTTTGCATCACAAAGGGAGAACTGGCAGCCACAGACGTTATTGATCTGGCGTCGACAGCGAGATTAGTACAAAACTCCCTAAAAACACATCATATCGTCACATGCACAGACTGGCTGTTCACTTTACAGGAAAAATTTTTAAAAACGAATCACAAGGGAGCAGCTGACACGCAACAAAAGGGACGGCGAAAGTGCAGTGAAAATCTCTGCACAAGTCACGGCCGAGTTCATGGTGTACCAAAAACAGAGGTTTATTTCATCCATACTACAGACACACCAGTTGAAAACTATGCCCTTGGAACACAGAAGCAGCTGGTACCATTTACACTGTGCCTACAGCACTACTGTTCACTAGAACAACATGCGTTCTTTAAATATTGCACTTATACTCAGCAAACATTCTCAGTGCAGTACCACATTCAAGGCAGGCGGAGTTATTTTTCTGTACTTCAGCATCGCCTATGACTACAAACGTTACATAACATTAACTAAAATACATTTTTGATATGGCTAAATTGAATCCTTCAGAGATGCAAATAACTTTGGTGAAATGAGGAAGACGACCCTTGAAATTTCACAAGAGAGCGACCGATTAGCTATGGGTCGTGTTACGATTTTCTTGGGAAACTTCAAAACAGCTCAGCACCACAGGGAACACATTCAGACTTCAAAAAACTGAACTGAGACTTTTAAATGTGATAAAAGTACATTCTTTACCATTTATAGGGCACTTTAAGGAGCACAGTTGTAATGTAATAAACCAGTCCATTTCAGTTTATTCAGTTGGTTATGGTAGTGGGAATGGTGGGGAGACTAGACTTTTGAGGAAAAAAACACAGTTCTGTGGAAAAAAAATCTAAGTATTTACAAGAGACAGACTGTGCTTGTTCTTCAGCTAAGGGGAGGGGGTATAGATGGCTCCCCTCCACACCTCCATATTTCTGTAAAGAGCTGTTCTAGTTACTCTCAGGGTAGCTGGTTCCCCCAGAGACACCCCACTGCCACTGTGCTGAAGGCATGCTGTCCGTTCTCACTCCAGGAACGGGTCTAACTCTGGAGTGCAGCGTGCACACTAACCAGCGGTGTTCTGAAACACCTGGGAGGTGTATGTCATGAGCACAAAGCCGCCAGGCACAGCCTAGAGGCTGGCAGCCCCCGATATGTTTGGAGACCCGTCTGCGTGAGCTCGGGGTCCTTTGGAGATCCGTTTGTGCTCAAAACGGAGATTAACCAGATATCGTTCAGTACCTCACACAGAAAACCCCAGTTCTCCAACCTAAGAACTGAATAGTGAGAGACGATCACGGTTGCGCAGTCATGTCATGTCAAGGACCTGTAAAATGGTGGAAAGAACCCACAGAATCATTGATTAGTGTGTAAAGATATGACTCTTGAGGGAGGAGCGGGCCTGGATATTTGCACACTTAAACACAGTGCACCGTACTCTGTCCACTACAGTGGTCAGCCGTAGATTCTTCTCAACAACGTTTTTTTTTTTAACCAGATCACAACGTGTCATTTTCACTTTCCCAGACAGCTACGATCCCCAAACTGCGGTTTCCCTCGGACTGTCCCAAAAGTTATTGCTCCGGGCAACAGAAAGCACCACAGTGTTTTACCTCAGCTGGCAAAATCACAACTGCCAACATTTTGGTTGAGATCACCAACTCCTACGGTTTTGGCACAATTAATTGAAACGCCACCTACTTTCCACAACAAAACTGACGAACAGACGGGTCAAGGTAATGCTGGAGGTTTTCTTCGTACAAAGCAATCTAGGTTGTTCTATAATTAAAGTGCTTTACAATAAAACTTTGTTTAAATTATACCGCATCAAAGACAAGATGGTTTTAGTTTCTTTGACAAAAGAAACCCAGGCACTAATGAGGCCTTCTGAAGAATCCTTCTGCAGCTGTTCTCAGCAGGCAACTACAGTGACGACTGTGGACACTCGTGTGTCCGGACTGACAGGTAGACCGCAGAGGAAGAGCTAAGGTCACTTCATACACTGGGAAGGAATTCATTAACTCAACACCGTCAAACGCACACCTGCGGCACATAACAGAGCAGCTCAAGTGAAAGACAGCCACAAGCAGCATCCCCTCTGGCAGAGCCGTGGGGACAGGGACAGACCTCGAAATGGCCACAGCTCCTGTTTCCTAGAAGCCCGACAGCCCGATCCTCTCTCTCCCGAGAAGCTTTTTAAGCTGCTTTGAGGTTCCGCTCAGATGCGATGCCCTTTCCTTCATCCCATCATTCTGGGTTTTTTTTTTTTAAGAATACATGAAAAGGCAGGAACAGGTGGAGACTGGATCTCTACATCTGTAATGATTCATTTACATTAATAACGCAAAAACTTCATCAACCTTCTTCATTAGTCATATCCATTAACCAGCCACCACAACCAGATGTGGCACCTACACACGTCTCCACAGAGGTCCTCCCAGTTTCAGGAACCGACCTGTGAAAGAACAATATCTGCTTAGTGCTTGACCCCCTTGTAGTTGCCAAGGCAACACCCCCAATGGGATTTGAACCCATGGCCCCCAGGTAATGAAGCCAGATCCTTAAATAACACACTGCCTTCCCTCTCACATCTGCAGCTCTACACTAACGTGCTCCTGATGCTGGTGGGGGCAGAGCCAGGGGTTTTAGAACTCATTGGCTCCCTGGACAGGTCTTTAAACTGCAAAGGTGCTGCAAGTCTGGGACACACTGTTTCCTCCAAGATCGGGCTGTTTTTCACTTGCGCCAGTCTGAGAACACAAGAGCTAAGGACTCTGTGGATGTTCTGTTCCGAAACATTCAGGAAAATAAAAAGTCTCCTAGAAAATTAAGGCTTTTTAAAATGTTATGCCAACAACAACAAAAAAATCATGAAAAAAAAAGCCCAAAAAACTTTTGATATACAAGGCATCGCACAGCTGCTTTTGGTAACTAAATTGCACGCGTCTTCTTTCACATCTACCCTTGACAAACACACGGAAATTCACGTCGAACATCTCACGGACACACAGAAAAGATTCCCTCTTGTACTGGGCCTGAACGCGACATGGCGGCCATCTCCCAGTGCTCCCCCACTTCGACCCACAGCTCTCGCCCTGGTGTCCAGGCCGCTCCTCCAGCGTGGACAGGTCTCGATTTCCGCTGGCTGGAGCACCACGGCTCTGAGGCTGGCTGCCAGGGCTCAGGCCTAGCTGCTGGCCAGCCGCTGGTAAAAGTAGATGTAGCCCAAGTCCTTAGGAGGCCTTTCGGAAAGACTCACTTTGTGGTCATTGTAGATCACCCATCTAGAGAGGACAGACAGGACGCCGGAGTCAGGGCCTGCAGCAGGAGGCACTGCCCTGCCACACACGCATGGCTGCAGCTATGCAACAGCCGGTACAAGGAAAGGAATAAGGCATAAGGCCTTCTGTTTGACCCCATAAGACCATCACTACTGGAGGCCCTGCGTCCTCATTCTACCTTGCCTGTCTCGCCATCGTCAAGCCAAACTGCTCTCCCAGAGACCCCATGCACGAGACAGAGGGTGTGGAGTAGTGTGGGGGGGGGGTCCTCGTTTTCAAGACATCGGACTCGAGAAGCATGAACCCACACCACACCTCCGCCCACTGAACCGCCCGCCTTTGAGCAGCGTGACAGACAGACCAGAAGTCTTATTGTGCAGGCCGCCCAGGAAGAGAGAACACATCCCATCAGCGTCACTCACCTGCCCTCCTTTTTAATGTGGCAAACATAATGGCCGCACATCGTGGATGTTCCCATGTGGCTGATAAAGGCAAAGAGCTCGTAGCCTGCAACACAAGAACAGGAGACCAGCTCTGAGGTCCACAGCCGCTCAAGCAAACTCAACAGTCATGACGCACTTGGTATTCTTTGCTGGGGTGCCATTCCCCTCAAAATAAAACATGCCTTTCTCTCAGGGAATGGTCAAAAAAAGCAATTACATTTCAGAGGAGACAAACGACAAGAGTGCATGCTCATTTAAATCTAAGAGCAAAGGCCTAGTGTGCATTTTATCGCCATCATCTTCTGCCTTTACTGATGGATAAAGAGGGTCTCCTGAAGATTCTTCCCTGAAATTCCAACTTGTTCCTGCAAACTGCATTGATTTCATCTTGGAGGGGGTAGTCCTGTGTGTGGTGAATCGGTAGGCACGTGGTTTTTAAATATTTTAACACACTGTAACGCCACAGTCGAGAAAACAAATGACAAGAAAAGGGCAAGTTGATTGGCCTCTTGATTGGCCTCTCTTTCTGTCCCCTGCTCCCGCCTCTTACTCCTCCTCCCTCCCAGCCTTTGTTCTCCTGCTACTTTACCTTTGCCTACTGCCCTGTCTCTCTCACACCGGAAGAAGGCTCCATGGCCGAAACGTTGTGTTCTCTTTCTTCTTTTTTCAGCATGGAATAAACCTATTACTTGTTCCTTTGCAGCTTACGCATGCTGACGCAGCTCCCCAAGTTTCTGTTCTACTGCTTTTGTTGACCCAACAGTTTACATCTACTTTAATTGGCTCGTACTAGTATACTGTACAATATGAACAGAACATCCATTGATTTAAGTTCTACACTTTTAACTAGCCTAACAGTTATTTAATTGCTT